CAAAGTCGATAAATAGAATTTATCTAAGGTTACAACCATAATCCCCGCCTTTTTAAAACTACTCTTTTTAAATAAATGTTCAAACTTAGAAAAGTATTTTTTGTAAAAACATAAAACCCTACCAATAAGACATTTAGCCTATAGAGATCTACTCTAAAAGAAAAACAACACACTCAACATACCTGCCATACTTTCCATTAACTAACAATTTCTTATTCCAACCCATAAACTTTTCGGCAAAGCCGGAACAAGTTTCTAATTCCACAACTTCCTTTGCATTTATCGTAACGTTCCTATTTGGACATTCCGAATCCGTGTTATCTAAACATGGTTTGTTTATGTATCCGCTCCGAATACCAGACTAAGAACAGTAGGCGGTATTATTTTTATTTTTTATCAATTTACAATAAAAATTGGATAAAATAAGAAAAATTCAAAAGTTTATATACCTTATTTAACGAACTGATCAAAGCTTCGTAACCTTCTAAATGGTGTAGTTTCAATATTTTAATAAATTTATCAATATCAAGATTTTTCCATGTTATTTCTTGTGGTAGATCGAATAAAAGTCTGTTAGGTTAGAAAAACCATAAATAAACTTTTATCTAAAGTCTTGTAAGCGTAGAGATATGTTTATTTATTTTTTCTTCTTCTACGAAATATATTACGGATAGAGAGAGAGAAAAATAAAGAGGTTTTTACCCAAAAATTGTTGAAGGAACATAAACTGGATGAGTTGGTCCTAATATTTTACTTCCTTCCCAAAAACAATCAAATATAGACACAATTGAACAAGGAGTTAAACCTTCGATTATATTGTTCAACAGTTTACTTCCTTCTTGACCGTTATAAAAGCTGTGTCTATGACAAACATCTTCAAAAGTCCATTCTCTGAAAGTAAAAAGACAAAGTGTAAATAGAAAACAATGTTAAACGAAAATATATCAAGCTCTGTGTAGCTTAAATAGCATAAAGAGAAAAGTACTAGAGAAGAGGATTTAATAAAGAAAGAAAGATGGAGGGTGGCCTCCTTCAACAAAAAAAGTAGGTTCACCTTAGGCATATAAGGTTACAGATACAAAATACCTTAAGAGAAAATTCCCACTTGACCCATGATATATCTATGTAGCTAATAATATTTGTACGTATAGATAGAAAACGCAAACTCACTCGTTAAATAGGGAGACTTTAATGTTGGTTATTTTTAATAAGACGTCCAGATGGGATAATAACGATCGTTTAGACAGTAAATTGTCGCTGTCGGAGGTCTGAAATAGAAATTGACTATCTACTCCTTCACTGTCTTTTAAGAACTTTTCGGAGTATCGTAATTCTTCCGCTACTCTTCCGGAAGCTGTAAAATATGAAAGCATAATGTTAATGAGATGTTGCTAATGCTGCTATTATGTAATGATGTAATCTTTCTACTTGAAAATAAAATTACTAATCCGATTTAAGTAAAAATAGAATTTTGAAACTTTTTCATCTTCTTTTCATCTAGGGATGTGTATGACGCAGAGAGGGGAGAGAACGGAAGAGAGGAATTTATCCCGTTTTTATCCTCAGGATTTTTCACTTAACACCCTAAAGGGATGTTTAAAGAGTGTTTTGAATAGGAAATTTTAATTGGCTGGTGTCGACGTTAAAGATTTTTCTTTTGTTTGACGAAGAGGAAAAAATGGTGGCAGGTGTGAGAGCGTCGAGTATCATAACCTTTTGGCCGACCCCGCCTATGCAAACAATTTACCCTTTCGGGTCGATACATCTGACACGTTCGAGTGTATACTTTAGAAAAAAGCTAGGATTGTTTGGAACTGGTAAGCCGTATCGAAATAAATGGACGGTAGGGAGTGCGTGTGTCAACTTAGGTCTAGAAAAAAAAACGCCTCTTTTCCTGTATCATCTAGAAAAAGAGTATCTAAATCACTAGCCTACCCCCCACTACGTTCTACTCTTCGTTTTTGCTAACTGCCCCTCACTGTCTAGCTCTTTTTCTCACACTTTGTAACGTCTGGTCGAGAAGAAGTTTTTTATTGTTTCTGCGGCCATACCCCAAAAACCTAAAAAACTTTCGACCGCTAGAGAATTCAAGTACTCCATAAATTTTATTTTACGCAAGAAACTTTGATATTTAAGTCGCTATTTCAATAGAGACATGAGAAAGAGAGAAAGAGAGAGAGAGAGAGAGAGAGAGAGAGAGAGAAAGATCGAAAGAATAAAAGACGAATTGGAAAAATTAAAATAAATCCTCCCAAATATCACGAATCATGATTATCTTACACCTTTTGTTAAGTATTACTAATCTCCTGCAAGCAAATATATGTTTTTAAAATTTGCATACGTGAGAAACCATATGTATTTGACACGTTCAACTGTATGCACAAGAGGAAAAGTTGCAACGAACTTTAATTCTATCCTCTTTCCTGTTTTTTAACTTATAACTAATCTTATGAATATTTATAGAATATATTTATTCATAAGTCGTTTATTCAATAACTCTTATAATTTCATTCAAATCGGTAATATTATTAATACATTGACAATGTCGAGTATGTACTTGAAATGAATATTCTAATTATTTAAGACACTACTTCTTTGGAACTTTTTCAATTTGTATCCTTATCGTATTTCAATATAGATAAGCGATGAACTATATTTTTTAATTGTATAATGTTATTAATAATATTTAATAAACAATTTAACATTTTCTTTATTATATGTAGTTTTTAAGTTATTTAATTTACTACTTTTTTTCTATATATGAACGTGATCCTTTCAATAGATATTTTGTCGTATATCATCGTTAAAATCAACAATTTTTATTCTTGTCTGCTATATAGAGAATACATCAAGTTTCGAATAATCCGACATATACAAGTATACTTAAAATAAAAAATATAAGATTCCTTTTGAACGGTTTTTGTTGACCTTATTTTGTCTTTTTTTCATTCAAAATAAACTTAAAAATCGACCTAATATATATATAAATTTATATGCATGTATGTATGTTATTAATACGGTTTTTAGCAGAGTATATACTACAGAACCTAAATATTCTGACATAAACAAGTAGCTTAGTACTTCAGAAAAAGACATCTATTATATACAATTTATATTTTTAAAGAATACATTGTCTTTTAGTTGTGTTTTTTCCCTTAATTTTAATTAATTCATGTTTATCCCTTTAGGCCTATATCGCCTTGTTATTGCATAATTAATATACTTCAAATATATAAAATATACTTACGAGAAATCCATAATTTTTTTGGATCTTTATCAATTCTTATCAATCTCAGACCAAGCGAGCAGAGGGTGAAGATTAATAATCCAATGAAGAGAACTTTCCCACAATGTCTTTGAATGTTATAGCCCAAACAGAAGAAAATACTTTGTAGTTTCCATCTTATAAATAAACCGCAAGATTGACCGTCAACTTGACCCTATTTGAAAGAGATATCTAATTAGCATAAACAGGTGGAGCCGTCAATCAGGGGCGGTTCTCTTCAAAGGTGAAAAAGGACCCCGCGACGCACGCGTAGACGACTCGTTATAAAACGATTTCCTTTTTTAAAGCAGGTGCTCTAGTTTCACGGATAATTGGCGTCTATTTCTCAAAAAGTAAAAGTTTTCTTTACGCGCGTTTCCACCCATTAAGAAAATAGGTCCTAGAAATCCTTCTTTGTTTTTACAATCAGCATAGACAAACACCAATTAAGTATAAAAGTATACCGATAATTTCTACCTTATTTCTTCTAAAAACTCAAATTAACTTTCAAGAATTCTTTTATTTCAATGAAAACTATAGAGTATTGAAATGAAACCTTTTATTATTTATTCATATTAACCCATTTATTACTTTGCATTAGGTTAAATGAGCTAAAAAATTTCTTTAACACGTTTCTACGTTAAAAGTAGAGTTTGCTATTGATAAACAAGAAAAGCTATTAGATAGCCTAAAAGTCCTTGAAAGCATTTTTTCTCTCTTCTCTCTCTCTTTCTGTCTCGCTCTTCTCCCTCTTCCCTAAACCCTTTCTTATCATTCTCTGCCAAAATTTTCTATTGGAGAGGAACGAGAAATGTTTCGTTAAGTAAATCTAATATTTTTAATGATGCAATAAAAAATAAGAAGATGCTCAAAGTAACAGTTGCAAACAAGTATTTTGTTGTTAGAATTACATACATTTGTCTTAGGAAATGACCATTTTATGTGAAAAGAATAGTCTATTAAAAAGATGATAAATGCTATAAAGAAGGAAGAGAGAGAGAGAGAAAATACAAACATATATCATTGAAATTATAAATAAATACATCAAATCATCATCTACTATAGCAAATAATACAAACACTTTAAAAATTTGTCTTCAACTTCCAAAGATAAATTGACTTTTTCCCCAATTTTTACAACTAACTGACGTTGATTAATTACCTTTGAAAAGTTCTACAATTATCTATTTATTTATTTGCTCTCTATAGATGTTTTACTGAATGTGATATTTTCGTTATTAAAGGTAAGGTAGGTGTACTTAACTAGATAGATACAATTTTAATGTAAGCCTTTATGGCTCTCTTATTTTATTCATATACGCACGTTATACTGTATATACAATCAACATCTATAATTATGTATACTCATCTATATATTTAAAATATAGACTCTAAAGGATTCTTCTTTTGTTGTGAAAGATTATCCGTTTCTAGCTATTTATTTGGACAAATACGTTAGTATTTCTTGCGGTATATACCAAATACAAAGGGTTATCTGATCTAAATTGCCCTAAAAAATGAAATAATATACCTTTTTGACTTTCTTATAACAAGTTCTAGCATCAATCCAACTCGGTCTATTCTGATAATCCTCGTCCATAATCCGTGGATTAATCAGATTAGTGGATTATCCCTGAAAATTTAATATACACTTCCAAACGCTCCTCATGCCGGCCTGCAACTGACTCAAAAGCGGTCTGAACTTTGCAATAAGGTATTCTGTTAACAACGCCACCTGGTTTTAAGCTTTAATAGCCGCCTGTCATTAGGCCTATATATTTTTATTAAATGAACATAATGCGTCAGAGTAAACAGAATATACAAAAAAAATACAAAATATTGAAAAAAAAACAAAATTAAACAATTTTAATAGTTTTCATAGGCAATTTAATGGAAGAAACGTTTTTATGGTAGATGGCGTTGCTCACGACGTTCTACCAGGGTGGTCCTTTGTAGGCCTAGTTCAAGTAAATACAACGTAGTTCGGCTCATTTCGAACGCTTATCTCTGCCAAGATTATCCAGCTTTCGATTAGACGATCGGAGAAGATGAGGACCCGGCTGTGTAAAAGTTTTTTTTTTAAAAATAAAATTATTTACGTGGGGATTTTCCAAAGTAAATACATTAAAAATAAAGGAAAAATGCAAAAAATCATGAATGTTTGATGGAGTGGAAAATAATTTTTAGTGAAGCATGGTAGAATTTTATATTGTTATTTCTTGATTGAAATACAATATAGTCATTTTAATATCAATTTTCGGTGTCATTGATGATACACGGAAGTCTTGTATCGTATTATGAAAGAATTATAATATTCATAACGGTTAAATACCTTTAAGCCTCTTTCAACTATGTATATAAAATAATATGTACATACTATATATATACATATAATATTTCTACTTCTTCTAAATACAATTTAGATCTCCTGAAAGACGACGTTTTACTTTTACCGTGCCATCTGTTGTCAATAACGAGAGTTTTTTCCCTATATGCCTAAAGATTGTTTTGTCTGTAATTGGTTAGTTTGTGGAAATTGAAGTAATTTGTTTTTGTTGTAAAATTTTGCCTGTAGACCTAAATTTAATGAAAGATATTGTTAATTATACTTACTAGGCTTTCATGGGGACTCCATTTATCTGGGGAGCAGTTTTCTTTGTCTGGACTTCCCCCTACACTTTGCCTTATCTTATCGAGTCTCTTCTTCAACGCTCTATGAATAACAGAACCTACGTCGTTCATTTCATTTTCTTTTGGCCGCCTAACAGGGGTCCCTCCGGGAGACCTTTCTACCGATCTCAACTTTACTGTTCCAAGGCCTTTTAAAACTTCTGACATATCAACTCCACTTGGCTGTTTAACTGATTTTGTTTGGTTGCTAGATGACTTCTTGTTTTGCATTATAATATCTCTAACTGATGGTCTCTTGTCAATCGGTGGCGGTGGGGGAGGAGGAGGTGGAGGAGGCGGTGGTGGTGGTGCTGCAACTACTGCTGTTTTAGAAGACTTTGGTGTATTTTCTGGAGTAGGAAATGCAGTAAGAACGGGAGTTGAACATGTTATAGCTGTATTATTTATGAGCTTAGCGATTTGAGATTTTAAAGCGTCTAGTTCTGTTTCCAACTCATTTATCTTCTTCATAGCAGCTTGTTCTTCTGGCTTTTCTTCAGCTTTTGTTTCAGTCGGCTTTTCCGGTTGACTTTTACGCCTGAACTGAGCTCTGTAAAGAACTCCCCAATCACGATAACTCCTTTCAAATAAAATAGATATATCGAACAGACTGAGAATAGAGTTGTCGAACATCCAACTTGTATCACTTTGAGAAGATGTAGTATCTTCATCGTTCACGAGATACGGGTGTAATTCAATTGTTGCGTCTATATTAAACGGAATATACTTGGCTAGCCATCGAAGAGGCAGAATTCTTTTCTTGTTTTGCCTGTAGCGTTATAACATTGGAAAGAGTATTAATAAATTATAAAAAACGCCTTAGATCAAACCTTGATTTTTTTGTAAAAGACGTATAGATGGACATAAGTTTAAGATGATTAATTACTACCAACATTTTATTAAAAAGCCAGTATATCATGTCAAGAAACCAATAATAAGAAAAAACTCGGTTTTAAAACTCTGCCATTACAGGCTCGCACCTACTCCCAAGAATTTTTTAACCAATCAGAACGCATCAAATATTCAATCCGCAGTGTTAAATGTCGCATCTATAGTTCCGCTTAGGCGCCTAGTAGTTTAATCAATCAAAGAAAAAACATTTGCTAAAATGACATATATATTTATACATTTATTTTAACACAAATTAATTACAAATAAAAAAATCATTCAATTTTCACCATGAGTTATTTTTTTTTATGAAATATATTAAAGAACCGTGGGTTATTTTAAAAAAATAAACTATAGTATATATAAATTGTAATTTATCTTCTTAATGAGATCATTTTAATTATATTTAGCTTATTGTATTCGAGAGCAATAAAGAAAAATCACAACAAGAAAGAATGATAAATTTTATACAGTTGAATATCATCATAAAAAATACGTTATATAATACAACGGCAATGATAAAACTTTTTATAAATAATCAAACAAGTGATACATTAGGTTACTCATTGAAGTAACATTACTTCGTACAGTTGTGGATTGCACAATTTACATCTCACATTTGGAAATGAGCTATTTTTCTTCATAAATTGATTAACAAATAAGGTCACTTATTATATTTATAGCTAAAAATATCATTATGATATAAGCGAAAACGGGGAATATATGTCTTAGGAAGATGATTAGAAGAAAAATGGAAAAAGGAAAATCACGATGATGAATTTGAAAGATTTTGAATATTTCTCATAAATCTGAATACAACATCATTTGAACAGCCACACCGAATATGTTTCCTTATACCTTTATCACGTGCAGCGTATAAAATTGGATTAAGGAAACCATTTAAGCAATTTAAATAAAATAATAATTCAATCATTGTAATACTAACGGTCTTATTTGAAATTAGATATAAATTTAAACACCTTAGAGGTAGCCATGTTGTAATAATAATTCCAACTAGAATAAGTAAAGTTACTAAATCTTTCCATCCTTTTCTAGTTGAACAATTCAATTCCGCCGCACGACAGTTTCTATGCTTTCTAGCAATAATAAATATTTTGGCGTGCATCTTGAGAATAACAAGTATTATAATTAATGGTAAAATTAATGTATAAGTAATATAGAGATACTTTTGAAATTTACTATCTGATATTGAACTTGATTTGTTAGAGCATAAGACTCTTGTCCATAAAATTGCGTGCATACCGAATAGACCAAAGGTTATTATCCATGTGATAATTGTCGTAACAATACATCTTTTCCAAGTAACTATTAATGGATACTTTAAAGGATTGTTTATTTTAATAAAAACATCCAAAGTTACTCCGAAAGTCGATAGCATAATCCCCCAATTAACGAATTCAAGCATATTGGATGTAACAAAACATCTTATAGCGTTTGTAGCAATCTTGTAGCCTGTTGTAGAAATATCAATAAGACATATTAAAGCCAAACCCAACAAGGCATCAAATATACAAAGAGATATTTTGGGAACATATGAATAATCTTGAGCAGTTTTTCTTGATTTAAACACAGCGTAGATGATTAAAACGTTGAGAGAAACAACAACCAGTCCAAAAACAGGTAGTATAACTCTATTTAGATATTTCCAGACTGAGGCATCAAGTGAGTGGAATGCAGTTGAGTTCATAATGTAAGTGTCGTATTTGATGTATGTAACGAAATACTACATATTTATACAAATATAAGTCTGTTTAAATATATAATATATACTGCTTTTATACATATATATATATATATACTCTTATACATGTATATATATATATATTTGTATGTATCAATGAGTTAAAACTATAAATATACCATATGTAAATATTATGCAAATGTTTGTATTCGTATGTCTAGAATATGTATATTATATATATGGTTACATATATATTGTTTACATGTGCACGATTCCAGTAAAACTAAATAAAAAGTAAGCATACTTTTAGTTTCCATAGAATTTATTAATCAATTGACAATTTATCTGTTAATAATTAATAGAATTTACATTCAAGCAGATTAGATGAAATACAAGATACAAATAGAAATATTTGGAAAACTAAATCATTTTATATAAGATAAGGAAATAATATATTTTTATTTCTTTAATAAAACAGTTCAAAGGTCACTCCTAATAAGATATTTAATTGAAAAATATTAGTATTGTTTCTTATACACTTTTGTATTAAGTAAGATGGAAAGTATATATATACTGTATATCCATTTTTGCCTATTCACTGTCTAAGTTCTATTAGCCTAGAAAGTGACTTTGGTAGAAATCTGGGCTCATAAATTTTTTATCAGCCTGTACTACTTAATTTTTTCTGCATACTTGAATGATTTACAGTAAGTATAGAATATGTTACTATTAGAATTATATATCTTTAAACACAGTATATACATATAAAAGATATATACTGCGTATTGTTTATTTATAGATATTTATACGATAAAACTTCTTTAATGCAGCTCATATCAGCCCGGAAAAGTTGAATAAAAAGAGCCAAGCAAGCATATTACGACATTTTCCAGTATTATCTAATAATATTTTGTTGATAAAATATAAAATAAATAACAATAAAGAAATAGAAGATATCTTAACAATCTTTCTTTCTGCAATAGAAAAAGCTTAGTACTTTCTTCCTTAATTTCCTTTCTCTAAATCCATAGACCAAAGGGTTAAATAGAGAATTACACAAAGCTAATAATGCTAAACAAAATATGGAAAAGTTGGTATACCTTCTTGGATTGGTTAGCAAGTATATCACGAGGGGTAACCAACAAATATAAAATGCTCCTAAAATTACAGCAATTGTTTTTATGGCCTTTATTGGTGGAGCTATTTCCTGTATCTTTTCTGTAATAAATATCGATAATTTACTTGTTTGTCTTGCTCTTTTTCTTTCTTTTCGCCATAAAACAGGAAGTTCTACCATACTGGCTGTTCCAATTGCATTTGGAACTGGTAGTCCAACCGATGTATGTTTCTTTATCGATTCTACTCTAGTTATTGTTTCGACAAAATTCAATTTTGAAATACCATTTTTTCTCTTTCTATTATCTCTTTTTGATTCTGATACATTATTCAAAGTTGTAAAGCAAGTTTCAGACTGTTCCTTTGAAGTACCTAGTCCGCTATCTTCGTTAATCATTATTAACTTTTTTAAATCAGGACAAGTTCTATGGCTAATCAAAGACGGTCGAGTCTCCTTTCTAAAGTTTACAGTTGGATGAACACTTTTCGAATGTTTCCTAGCCACTAGAAACATTCTAGCATATAGAACTAAGGTTAACAGCATTGCTGCTAGGCCTAATGCACCCCAAGAAACCAGGTATGAGTAAGAAATTTTCTCAACGAATAGACACACTCCGTCAAACCTGAAGAAACAAATAATAAAATGTAAAGGATTATAATTTTTCGATCTATTTCCCTAGCTATTTTTTGTGATGTTAATTAAGAAAATGTTGAAATCTATATGTTCTTTATATTGGCTATAAATATATATATATATATATAAATTCAATTGTATAACGTATATACTGTATATGTACAGCAAAAGGTTAATATGCTCTTATCTAACTATATTTTGGACGACACGTGCAGTTTCTCTCCAATAAAGTTTTGATAGACTTTTGCACTTTTCCAACCATACGTTACTGTGAACTTTTCTTAATCAAAATCACATTTAATCAACATTATAAAAGAGAAACAGATAATAAGGACGTTTGATAATGTAATGAGAGGTTTAAATTCAATAAAGACCTTATATATAATAGCAAAGGGAGTATTTATAATTGTTTGAATTGTACGATACACTAAGAAACATTCTAGTAGTCTAATAATAAAAAGGAAGCAAATTTGTTGCTTATACAAAAATCGGCTGTATGATTAAATCGTAGACTGGTTAAAACTAGTAATAAAGCGTTAATACAACTTTTTCAAGTATATACAGTATATACATACATATTTAGCTGATATAAATACATAGAAACGATCTTTATATATGAACCTGTTCCATCCCATTAAAGGTAGTAGTCCAATCATAACAGAAATGAACCATATAATCAGAATAGCTATTATAGATCGATTTCTGGTAATAAGAGCCGGATAACGAAGAGGATGGAAAATTGCTACGTATTTTTCAAAGGCAATAGCAGTCAAGGTAAAAATACTGGCGGTCATTGAAATAAAAAGAAATCCAGGACCATCCAATAATAAACATAATACATAGTCACTCCGAATTGTAACTAGCCTTTTTAAAAACTCCTTATTAAGTCTTAATTCCGCAGATGCCATTAACATGTCCATAACTGCCGCATAGACGAAGGATAAGGCCATTATAAGATCGGAGGAGGTTAAGGATATTATAAACGAATTTGTAACGGTTTTCTATACATAAATAAGAGAATATTTTTAGCGAAAGAAAGCAAAATAAACAGAATATAAACGAGAATTTCAAATTGTTGTCTTACTTACATTTTCTTCTTTAATCAATGCAGTCAGTAAAATAGAATTGGCAATTATAATTATCGAGCATAAGATTAACGTAAATATATTTAGAGCAAATAGTTTCTCTTCCCTGCCGCAATTTGCATTTTCCACCAATAATCTATAATATTCTTCTGAAATATCTATTTCGCAGTTTTCCACTAAAACTTTACGGCATAAATTCAACATTTTATAGGCCTGATCACCTGGACTAGTAGCCGATAAATAATCAACAGATTCGAGATCAAAAATACAAGTGTCATTACTTTCTGATAGTTGATTTAATGTCATTACTGGTGATTTTTTAAAATAAAATATATATATATATATATATATAAATTTATATGTATGTATAATGACAGTATACATACATGCATATATAATTAATACTTTCTTTTTATCTTGTTCTTCCTCCTTTCGCTCTCCTTCGTTGTAGGAAACTCTAGCGAAAGAAATGAAAAAACAAAAGCGTTTTAACGTTCATTTATTCGTGCTTTATCTCGAAGAGTTGTTGAGTCAAGACCAAGTTATTCGTAATATATTAGCAAATGGTGTCGTTCGAATTATTTATCGCTCTTACAAATGTCGTCATATATTTCGGGGAGATTGCTTATAACTGTATATCCTTCATTTGACCTAACAACCCTGTTCCAGTTTCTTTCTTTAGTGTTTAAACTCAATAGAAGAACACCTTAAATTGATTAGAAGAATATATATTTAAACACAGGGCAAGAAATCTTAAGCGAGAATCGTAAAGTGCCATCTATAGGCCTTATCCTTTATTAAAAAAAATGATGGAAAAGAAAGAGAGAAAATTGAATTTGTTTGTACTTTCATAGAGAGGAAATGGTATTATTATTATTATTATTATTATTAATCGGGTTCCCTTTTATATGTAATTTATCTTAATTAATTTAAAAAATCTCGAAAAAAAACCCCTTTAACTGATGAATTAATTATAATTAATATTAATTTATATTTAACTATTTAATGTAAATATCATTTATATCAAATGAACTCGATAATTTATTATAATTTAGAGAAACACCTAATAGGATTATTAGTAGATGGCGTTAAACTGATTTATAGATATAAGTGACATCTGCCATAAATATACTATTTAATGCCTGTATGTTATATAACGATATACAAATCTATTTAATGAGCATTCAGTTTTTAATTAAGCAGCCTTTTCTACTATAACATAATTTTAAAACTCTAAATAATTCTTTTTAATCTGTTTCTAGTTGACTTCCTCTATCGTCCCTCTTCCGTTCTCCAGTTTTCTTGAATTATAACTAAAGAGACGAAATATAAGAGAAGAAATGTATACGAGGGAAGCAAAAGAGATATAGGAATACTAGGGAGGGGGAAATATATTTTCTTTACGTTTTTTCGTTTTGAGGGGTTTGAGTGCCGTCTAACGGTAATCGTTCGAACTATACAACTCTTTTACTGATTTTTTCTTTTGGAGGATGGGTGTTGCACGTTGCTGTGCTTATTTCACAGCGTTTGCATGGACCTTAACAGCAGCTTTTACATTAGTTGGATTATGCGTTGAATACTCATCATATATCAATGTTGTTCTGTTCTTTAAAAAAGGTTAGTTTTATAATTTACTACCTCTATATTCTTTATAATTTTTTTTAAATATCATCGCTAAATTACGTAATCTTCTCATTTATTTATAAATCAATTAGTAAGAAATCAGTAGTTTATTAAACAATTGCGAAATTATCTAAATATTTATTGTAAAATTTGAATACCATTTACAAAGAAGAAAAAAAAAATAAGGGTAAAAAACTTCGAAAAATTCCTGTAAACAAACAGGCCTTGTGGAGAAAAAAATTTTTTTTTTCTTATCACTTCCCTAGGAAAAAAAACACTATTATTAACGATAAAATAGGCCTATTTCTGTAAAAAATTGATCTTAATAAGAGCTAGCATTGTAAAGTAAATAGAATTAAAATGAAAAAAAAGTCCTAGATTCTCTCTCTCTCTCTCTCTCTCTTTCTTTTCTCTCTCATATTCATATTTATATATATTAGTATATATATATATATATATATATACACGCTCTCTCTCACCCATTCCCTTTCTCCCTCTGTTTAACAGGTAATATTAAAAGAGAAAAGATTATGGATAATTAGGCCTAAAAGATCACTTCTAATGCGGTATAAATATTTGTTGAACAATGATATTTTCGGTAATCACTCGAAGCTTTTATAAGGTACACTATAAAGTGTTAGATACAGATTCAATTGCTTGCATTTCAGTCATTGACATTTGCTCTCCAATCCTACAAAGTACTTCTTTCTACTGGAGAGGAGTAAAAAAAAAATAAAAGAGAAAAACTGCTACTTTGAGCTTTTTACAAGATATTTTTCCTCGAAAATATGAATAATAATCAATATAATAGAAATGTTAACATTAATAAATTATAAAAAAATATGTATTATCAATATTTAAATAGCAAAGAAGGATAATAATTAAACTAATTGAACTATTAATTAATTAATAATTACTTAAAAACTAAATGGCTTTGTCCTTCTATTTCTACGCCCTCTCCTTCACCTTCATGTTAGATATCTTTCTATTTTACTATATATATAATATAACAAATAAACGAGATAATTATAAATTAGATTAGTTTGATCATTAATAACATTTTCTGTCTCTTCTAGTCTCTTTTTCCTTTATTCTTACTTTCCCTAAATTCTCTACAACAAAGCAGCGAATGTAGGATGTAAGAAAACGAAGCATTTAAATATTTATATATGTATATATGTATATATACACTATTAGTATTATAATACAGTTTCGAATTACCGTAAGAGAAATTTAAAAAAGAATTAGAAATAGAATAATACAAAATATTTTCATTTCCTGTTCCGGTTCTTTTTCCTTTTACACAACGAGCTTAATAAAAGAAAAAACAATTCACTTTCCGGTCTAAAATTTTAATTAGAAAAGAAATTTTAGAGCTATTATTCTTTTTTTATTTTAAATGCTGAATTTATATTTAACTTCTTTTAATGAAAATAATAAAGAAATAAGAAGGTAGGCTAGAAATTATTTTATTCAAACGAAGAAGAACTCTTTGACTATATTGAATATGCATATACGTATTTTTACGTTGTTACTGAATGTTAATCTTATTCACTTCTACTGCTGTTAGGCCTACCATAGTGACAAACACACTTCCGATATCGGAAAAGTTTTACGTAGTGTTTGGAATTAGCTGAAAATTCGCTGGTGACCAAATGACCTTCTTTGCCTATAACCAGTCTCCTCACAGCTCCGCAGTCGTCTGATGGCGTTACCAAAGCCTTGATATAAAGACCAGTTTCACCATACAAATTAACTGTGTGATTCAAAGCATCCCCAATAATTATTTGATTAAATGGATTTACGTATATTCCACCAGGTTCGCAGAATAGTCCATCTTTACAGGCTTCCGCTTCAAAACTGTTGATTATCTGTAGGGGTCAAAGTGAAAAGCATTTCTTAGAAATTCAAATGTTCTTTTGAAGTTTTGCATTCTAAATTTAGTCACAAAAATATAAAAAAAAGTGCCAACTTCACCATTACGATAAAAAATTGTTTTGGTGTTAAAGTGGACTTTAAAGCTCGCCCTTTATTTTGACAAACCTGGCTTTTAGATGAGATAGAGTATGTTAAAACTTTGGCATTAGAGTCTGCAATTAACAGATTCCCTTCATTGTTTGTAGCCATTTGAAAGATCTTCGTGGAATTAGGCCTAAATGAATATTTTTTATTAAAAGTTTCCGTGTCAAAAATCTCTACTAAGCCGTTCTGATTGGATATAGCCAAATCGTTGGAGACGTCGAGGAGAACTATTTCTGCAGGTTGATAAGGGAGATTAATATCGTATTTCCGCTCGCCATATTCGTCAAATAATCTTAGCCGTTTATTTCTTCTATCAGCAACAATTGGCTCATTATTAGGTAAAACAGCAATCGCTGACGGTTGATTCAATCCTTCATTAAAACTGTACTTGAACACACCACACTGATTCAATACTTGAATTCTATTATTCCCTGAATCTGCGACAAATATATCAGTATTTGGTGAGACAGCAAGACCCTTTGGAAATTTGAACTTTCCCTCCAATGCCGAAGGTCTTCCCCCAACTGCATAGATTAATTTGCTAACACCAGTCTACATAGGAAAAAAAAGAGTAATTGTTTTTTTTGTCTTTGGATTTTTTTTATCTACTTTAACTTTTAAAAGATTCGATTAGAAGGTTTAAATAAACAAAATAGCCGAATATCCATCACATTTCTTTCTAATAAAAAGGGAACAAGAAAAGCTCATTTCGAATGAGAAACTATTATTGCTTTTCTTGTTCTTTTGGACCATAAATCTTTTTTATCATAATCTTCATTCGTAGAAAGAGAAACAAGAAAGTTTATCAAAAATCAATAGCAACTTTTATGACCTTCAACAAATATTATAACTGAACTGAATATCATTAAAACTTTAATGTATTCCATTCTAATAGAATGAAATATGTATTTATATAGAGACTGTTTTTTATAAAATATTCGCTTTAATTGTTTTCCATTTAATTTAAAGTCATAGTTAAAAGAAAGAGAAGAGCGAATAGGTTAATCGTTAAGGTTACCAAGTATTTATGTCAAGTACTTTGAAAAGAAAAAAAAAACGACTTTAGTATTACGGCAGATGTTGGTTAAAGAGAAAGAAAGTCTGGTGGTAGAAACTAGATTTTGGATGTGAAAAGAATGATAGAATAAGATAGATTTTTTTTTCTTTTAACAATCAATACTATTATTCAACCGTGGATTTTCAACGAATAATTGGTAAAAAAAATAGATAAGTCTGAGCTAAGAGGAGAGTGGACTGGGGAGGAAAAAGTGGTTGTTAAAAGAGAGAAAAAGACATAGTGGATTCAGTCTGTAGACACTATTAAAATACTTTTAAAACGAGTAATAAATCTTGGTGATAATGCTATTCGAATTTGGTGCCTCTTCATACACAGGGGAGAAGCAATATAGGACGATATACTTATATCGTTGAAATTTTGGTAAAATTCTATAAATAGACTTATAAAGCCAACAAACCTGTCTTTCTTCCTTTCTGGCTAGTTGTCCACAAGATTTGGCTGTTAGTCTAACTCCTTCAGAGAAAACTTTCGCCTCAAAGACCGAAGAGTCAGTGTACCTTCTTGTAGCGTCAAGCCTGCAATCGTGCGGAAACGGCCGTCTAAAATGTATTTGCGTTCTCTCCTTGTACAATTCATGAAATGAATGACATGGGTTCCTGATTGTTGTAAACGAATAGCCAGAACCGTGAATTCGAGTTCGCGTTTGAAAATCAGTCATGTTTATGCCACGGTCGTCAACGGACGTATCGATCCGCTTTGTAGAAAAAAATTTTTCGGCTTGATCAAGTAGCCGTTTTACACATTTTAACAAAGCGTTACTTTCCCAAATTTTGCAGTGTTTTTCTTATCTTTTGCTAAAATCATAAAACATAGCTGATAGGAGATATTTCGAATATTTCCACAACTAATTATTTATACTCTTTCACTCTCTTTCAATATATAGAAACATAAATCAATATATTTATTTTTATATTAATATATACAAGTATTTGCTAATCTATATATACTTGTTGTATATATGCTTTTACATAGATTTATATATATATATATATATATATATAGATATATATATTAGCCATTTTTTCTAAACCGAAATATGAATAATTGAAAGGTAAGGAACAATGCTCTGGAGGAGGATAAATTTTCTCGATTTCTCTTTCCTTATCGTCAATTTGATATAGGACATAGGGGATTTATCTTTCAAGCTTACGTTTTTTAGAGGTTTTTACGAAATTCTATTTAAGGAGAATAACACGTTTTCTCTTTTTCTCTGGCTATACTGCCACAAGTATAATTAGGTTTCATAATTAGTTTCGTTAATTAAAAAGTTTCCATTCTACTGCACATTTATTGAAGAATTAATTGGTTTTATTGCAAACTTAATTTTCTTTTGAAAATTACCTATTGTCGATTTGTTGAACGTATATATAAAATTCCCTTTCTGATAGGTCCATTAATTCCTTCTCAGACACTTGTATAACAAAAGACACATTAAAAAAATACTATTATTATTATTAAAAGCATATGTCTATTCATTGAAACATGAACACTTGGAGTTTATTTTTAACAGAAAGTTTTGGCATTTATTCAATTTATTCAAGTGCAAATAAATAATATATACTAATCTGTATACACTGTATTGTATTAGATAAATAAGGTATAACTTATAATAATAAGAATTCTTATATAATAAAACAATACAAGCTATTTATATTAATTTATATGCAGTATATAGACTATAAACTGTAGTTTTTTTATTTTGGGATATGTAAATTTTTGAAATACAACACTTCCTTTCTATTGTCATTTCTGAGTTATAATGACCTTGGGCCTATTCAAATATTCCCTAGATAGGGCTTTAAGTATGTAAATTATCCGTTTTTCACTAACTTTATTAATAGTGTGGAAAGAAAAGTAGTTACAAAAGTCTTCTCCTTTTAGCCTTGAAATATTAATAGGAAGGAAACATATTTAATATCATAAATGTTTAGGGAAAATATTCTCATACGTGGCATTGCATGATGCTTCAACTCAAAGTTAATCTGTAAAATAATAAGGCTAAATGAAAGTAGTCTTCCTTAGGGTCCATTTTTAAACGCTGAGGTAAAAAGCTTTGAAGGAGGCCGTTGATGACGATGATGTAAACATTTCTCCAAAGAGGAAAGATAATCTTAGTCTACATAAAAATTATATCAGTAGAAATTTCAAGGTATCTAACATTAATCACTATCAAACTAGATGAGAGAACATCTAACGGAAATAAAAAGAAAATGATGCTTTTAGCAGGCATCACGCAAAATGACAATAAAATAACAAAATTAGAAATAAAAGTAAGAAAATTCGAGACAAGACGAAGCAGAAGAATAAGGGAAATAAGAAAACTACTTAAACTATACATAACTTCTCTTAGGTCTATATAATCATGTAATGTATTTACATTTTTAATATAAAATGTAGGGAATACAAACCTGATGAATAATAAAATAGTCTTAAAAAAGAACCTAAGAGCCATCAGTAATCGGCTTTTCATTTTTATCAGACTATGACAGTCTCAATACCCAGAGCATATAGCAGGAATGTCCTGTTCTGGAAAACATTTTAGTAATGCATGGTCTCTTTTATGGACAAAATTGTAAAAATTTTAAGCTTCAATTAACGAATATTTTATGGTTGAACTGTATTAATCACGTAGGAAACATTTACACAAGCTTATTCTATAAAAATGGATAGATTAATAGATAAGACAATGCCAATCGTTTTGGAATAATAAATAAAGAATAACATTTGAGACTAGTAAGAAGAAAAGAGAAATTCCTATATAGAATAATTTTTATCAATTTTCATCGAAATGCGGTGCCAGAAGAATCCAAAAGAAAGGAAATTATACCTTTAGGTCCATTAAGACCGATAGGATATTTAATCCAAACTATAAATGGAATAGGAAAATTTTTGTCATACTATAACAAACAAGAGGCAGACAATGTGTTATGATAAGAAAGAGAGAGAAAAAACGATTTAATTAATGATGATACAAAGGAGAAATAAATGAAAACTTATGATTTATTATATACTTCAACTTGTATATATATATATTTATATGCATTTCTAACTTCTCCTATTTATATGCGAGATTCTAAAAGAAAATTCCTATACTTCAGATGAAATTAAAATTAATGGTCAATATCTAAACTGTTAGCCTAGTAGTTTAACGCTTACACATACGTAAAAAAATCACTTGTAGGCATTGATAAGTTGAATTTCATAAACCTACTTTCAAGGATTTTGTTGCAAACGTACAATTGATGTATATAAGAGTTAAAATAAGAGTAGAAAAAACGATAAAATATAGTAAGTGCTATAATATTCTATATAGCCTGTAGTAATGTTTGGAAAATAATGGGAAAATGGAATGTAAACTGGATAATCGTGTGGAAGAGACAGTTTTTTTTTTAAGTAACGTTTACTTATGCGCGAACAGATATTAAATGAACTTTCTCTTTCGGATCAACTAATCCTTTGAGCTCTTAAATCCAAAATATGTTGGTAAAATGATAACATAAAAGTAATTTATCTTTCCCGTTTTAATTACGGCTTATTCTTTGTTTTATGCTGTTAAATAAATTTACAGTCTTCTTCATCTTTCAGGTAGATGCGTTTTGGAAAATTCTATGTACACAATTCAGTATACTTGCTCATGCGGCGGAACAGCCTGCAAATCGACTTATCCATGTCTACTAATTTACGCTACTCTGAATAGAACGATGTCTCTTGACTCGGAATTGTTACCGTCCGTTCCAATGTTTAAAACCGACCAGCAATTAATCAATGCTGTTCTTGACCGAGAAGAGGATAATATAGATCGTGTAAGATAATAATACACACTTTTTTTAAAATTAGTGATTGTTAACGATTAAAATTGAAAAATCTTGGATAAAAAAAGAAGCTGTATAACTAATCAATCGATTTTCCAAGTACACTGGAATACAGTAATATGTAGCTTCTAAGCAGCAACTATACGAAAGAGTACTTTATATCATATATTCCTAATGAAGAATATTACTCTTTGAGTCTTTTCAATAACATTTTTTTAACGACGTACTATTCATTTTCCTTTTTTTCCTTTTTTTTAACAGTGTTCTCTCTACGTATGCGAAAAAAACTCTAACGTAAACAGGGATATCGTTGAATTGTACAAGAAAAATAAGGGTATAAAAGGAACACCCTATGTATGCTATTACAGCAAAAGCGAACCCAATCAAGGAGCTTTCTTGGAAAGAACTATAAAATCATCTTTTGTTTTTCACATTCTCTTTTGGCCATGTACCTCAATTATATTGGGATTCTGTGGTTGTATTATAACAAGGCTGCACTATATGTATAAGAGGAAAAATCATGGTAAAAAGCCCACCGATTGCGAAGAAGAAGTCAATTTAAAATACTAATATTAAATTATTCATTAAATATATAATTAATTAGAATAAATTTTAATATTTATTTAAATAATGCTTATCGCTTTGATATTCTTTGAACTACAAAGAAATCTATAATATCTCTACTCTCCATCTCCCGTGCCATTTTTATCCATATTTTCCTAACACATACAAAGATGAAATAGAATTACAGTCTATAATGATTTATAAATACAACAAGCGAGTATTTTGCCCACAATTAAACTTTGAAAAAATTGGCCTTCTTTCTTCCTTCTCTTCGTCACTCTTACTCCTCTCTCTCTCTCTCTCTCTCTTTCTCTCTCTCTCACACACACACACAGACACTCTTTTCCCCCTTCCACGCAAGCTCACTCACGCACTCCCTTGTTTCTATCTTTCTATCTGTCTATCTCTCCTCTACCCATTTTACATTTTATCATACAATCTTTTTGTGCCTTTTCTAACCAATCTTACTAGTGCAAAAGTATACCTCTTTTTAGGTCTATATGTATGAAAGGATATATTTGTCAAGAAGACAAACATAATAAAGTTAGAGTAGATTCATCGAATGATCGCTGTAACTGAAATAAATTTTAATCTATTCTTAAAGGAACGTAAACATCTCTTTTCAGTATTGTTAAATACATTACAGTTTAAAATTTTGCAGACAGCCAAAGATGGAGTCTTAATCAATTTCGACAGGCTGATTATACATCACATCACAAATTGTAAGACGTTTTTCTTTATTTTTGTTAATTAAAGGATAATTAATATTTTTTTCTCGTTTTCTCTCGAAGACGCCTGTGATGCATAAAGTGTTAAAAATGGCCGTTAACGTTCTCATTGTAGATAACCTTTATGGCTAAAGTATTCGTGTGGCATTTGACATCTTAAAAAAGCATTTGGGAGTCAATTTTTATGCAAAAAAGCCATGCAAGTCATGCAGCAACCATACTTACTAAATGCACTTTCTCGATCTACACTCGAGAGAAAGAAGCAAAGAAGAGAATATCCATTCGTGTTAATAATCACAATGTACATATTCCATCTGACTATATTGATAATTTCCGGATTTCATATACTCTTATGAAACGAAAAAAAAACAACCTTTTCGTTTTTATATTCTCTTTTTATGTCCTAGCTTAAAGATATCTGTCCTCTGGCAATAAATTTATCACTCTTAGATAGGAAGATAATTAGGTCAACTGTTACGTAAGTCATTTACATATAGAAAGTATATAATATCTATAAATTTACATATGTCGTACATTGCATATTCAATATATATTGAACTTGGCTTATTTAATCGTAATAAACGAATTTAAAATGTTCAACATTCTCAAAATTCATTAAAAACTGTATAAAACGTTTAAAATTGATTTTTCAATGATTCTACTATCATTTCAGAAAGTTTAGAGCGTTTTCAATCAATGTGTCTAAAAAGAAATAGCAAATTTAATTAGGTCTTGTAAAGTGAAACTCGACTGGAGATGGAGAAATAAAGAACTAGAGCAATTCAATATGATCACAAAAATCCTTTATCAGGACTGCTAAGAGAACTTTAACTGGCTGATACAATGAAAAGAAACTCTAAGGAAAAGAAAAGAGTAAAGGAAATGACAAAATTATTGATTTCGTTAAGAAGGAGGATATTAGTACTAACCTAATCTATTAACAAGATTATGAAGTATTTTCAACAAATGAAACTGTCTTTAAAAAAAACTAGTTAATTTCAACCTTTTTCCTTGGAAACTGCAATAAATAAATCTTGTTTTTCCACTGAAAGTAGAGATTAGATTTATTCAACTGAAAAATTGCTGATAAAGAAAAAAACGGTTATAAAGTGTGAGAAAGAGAGATAGGGAGAGAGAAAGAGAGGGGCGGGGGAAGGGGGGAGATGGGAGAGGTAGAGAGAAATAACAAAAATATACCTCTAGTAAATATCCTACAACCTATCATTTCTATGTAAGAAAACTGGTATGTTTCTTCTTCCTAGCTCTTTCAATATTTACTTTTAGAGACTTTGTAAAATTAATACAGATTTGCTATTAAAAAGAGAGTCTTCAAACGTTATCATGTGACTATACTTAATATCCTCAAATTGTATATTTTAATCAATCCATTGAAAATATGTGTACTAATGGCTAAAATATTTTCAAACCGTCTAAATAGACTTTATAATTATATTTCCTAATACTAGCGCTATATTTCTCTCTTTTACGAAACAAATTCTATACCTATTATCATTTATATGCCTCTTATTCCAATTTTTTTTTACAGAATTTGCCCCAAGAAAGAGTTCCAGATTTGGGAGAAGGAGAGAAACCAATCAAATTACAAGTCTATTAGCTATTATCTACTCTCTCGTTTATATACTTGTTGGGTAAAAAAGGGAAAGTACACTCTATTTCTCACTTAATTATTAGATTTATCACGATTGATGGTCAGCGAGTTTCGTCCTCTGTCAATCTACGAAATACTGTATATTAATTGCATTCTGTTACAATGGTGATACTATAAAGAAGAAAATATACATCTCCAGTTAGTCTTATAAGTCTCTTCTATACAAAATACATTTTTTATTTCGACATTTTGTATAAATTTTCTATAGCTTTCTTTAAAATTATGATTGATGGACTGATGGGAAATTGAGAACGATAAAAGAAAGAAATTCATTATAGAAGCATTTGATTGTTTTACGTATTTATGTATATGTCTTTTGAATTAGTGTACCAACAAGTGATCTAATTGTAGCTGTCAGTCCTTAGTATGCAACTTTCAGGGATGCTCTTCTATAAACTATTTCTATCTTTGAAATTTATTGTATTTTGCAAACTCAAACTCTAATCATTTCGTTTGACAGCTCTCACTTTTTTATATTCCTCTTTAATTAATGATCACTTATTAGACGGTTTAAGACGCCTCTGCGGATAAGTTGGTGGTCTAATCCCCTTTCTAAAGAAATCGTAGAATTTTATTTACGTTTCTTGATAATTTATTTATAGAGGAGGGAGGAAAAAAAAGTTAATAGTGATTTTTTTCCATGGCAAAGAATCATTAATACACAGTCAATCTTCTATACGACATATACTAAACAACATAAAACGAATAGTATAGAATGGAATACTTGTTTAAATAACTTGTTCATATTCAGTTTCATCAACATATACGGTGTGAATTAGTTTATCCCTTTCAATTAGAGATTCTTCAACTTGCTGACGACTCGACGTCTTCCTTAAGCGTCTCTTAACGAATGGATATACATTCAAAAGACTCTTACACTTTGCCTTGTCGCCCACAAGTCTCATGAACCTTTCTAATTTATGACTATATCTGCCTGTAGAACAAACTGAAAGATCGTCGTAGTACGCCTTTAAGACCTTTACAGGATTTCTAGGGGAACTTAACCAGAGATTCCCTAATGGTCTATGGTGTCCTGGAAAGATATCGGATCTATCAAAAACACGAGTATTTTCATCGTTTATCGTGAAAATATGAGTTGCATTCTCTATAACACGGGAAAAGAGAAACGGATGATAAAAGTCGTAAGAAATTAGTATTTAAGGTGAACTTGTTGTACCTTGAAAAAATTCTATATCAATGAACGGCCATCTGTAAGCAAAATCCTGATCATCTGTATAGTATCTAACCCCTCTTTTATCCGACACTTTAATTCTCATATTCGCTCTCTCTATTAATGTCTCCGGTAGGATTTCCTTGATTTTCGGTAAGTATTCCATTAATAAAAATCTATCTTCAAAATTAAAGATGAGATCAATATCGTCGTCCCAAGGAATGATATCGTGATTCCTTAAGATATGCAGCATTTATTTATACGTCTTTAAAGGATTAAACGCTAAAATGTATTTCTCTTAGACATGGGATTTATATGTATAAATCTATATAATATTTACAAAAACATATTACGTAACCCTCTAGCATATCTACTTAATAAATGAAGAGATGATAAGTGTATAGATGAGTAAGACGGAGAGTAAGTAAGGAGTATGGGTAAACGACTTTCTTACTAAAAAAAGTCATTACTTATATAGTTATTTTACTTTCTGATAGTATTAATGTATAATTGGTGGAAAAGAAAATCAAAAGAACAGTAAGCGAAGGCATATTTATAAATAATTAATATAATTCGATAATTTACAGTGCTCTCTTATAGGAGTTAAAGAAATTGAAGATATTCCACACATTCTCTCTCTCTCTGTCTCTCTCACCCATTCCCCTCCGTTTTCTTTTACAATCAAAAGATGTAAAGAGTCACACTGCTAACGATTTTTTTTTTAGAGAAACGGAAAAGAATTCGGCGGTCACTTAGGACTCCCAAAAGTCCTCCCCTAGGCACTGATAGAAAGTTTCATTTTCAATAAGAATTCTAACGTAGATGGCGACACAAAATTAAGTTCTACTCTTTCGCCATCTTTTACATTTGCAAGTAATTAAATATCAAATACACTGCGTAATATCTTTGAAAAGAATAGGTGATTTAAATACCTATAAGATCCTAGAAGTGTTCCAGCCCACATAAAATAGGAAATATTCAGTCTTTTAGCAACCAAATCTATAGCTTTCAGTAAATCGAAAACTATATGTCTATCTGCATCAGTCATTTGAACTTTAAGAAGAGAGGGTCCATCCCCCCTAGCAATTTTTATAAATTCCAAAATATCTTCCTTCTCTTTAACTGTAGAGTCTATCGAATATCTTCCCAAAGCGTAGATTGATAACACAACAAGGAATATCATTAAAATATAGATATATTTCCTAAAAAATCGGCAATTAGTCTTCATTTACAGCGAAATAATTTGTCCTAGTGTAATTTTTCCTTCTATTACGTTTCTATATGTCCATATACAGTTCTCTCTTCAATATTAAATTTGTTCTTAAGGTGTATTGAGTTATAGTGTTCAAATTGTCCACGATAATAACACCCGACTAATTACGATTTATATCCGTGCAATAATTCACCTTCTACAACTATGGTCGCGTAGTGTAGTGGTTATCACGTTCGCTTTACACGCGAAAGGTCCCCAGTTCGAGCCTGGGCGTGACCAGTTTTTTTATTTTTTTCTGTCTTTTAATATAAAAATCTATATCTTAATCTTTAAAAATACGAAAAAAGAACACATTAGTTGTACTGCTTTTACTATACAATTCAACATTGTATTTGTTAGCCGTAAACTAGCGACATCTGTTTGTTGCGACAAGTGTTAATATATACTGTATATATATAAATAGATATTATTATATCTATGCAGAATATTCAACGATCATATACAGTATATGTAAAAGAGAGAGAGAGAGAGAAAGGGAGAGAGAGAGAGTAAGAGATATAGAGCAGAGAGAATGATAAGGAGAGAGAGAGATAGAGACAGACGCATATTTGGTATATCAGTTACGTTAAAATGATGGATAGTCTAAAATATATATTTGTTTATTTTTCCATAGGGGAAATACGTCATTATTTATGTTGCTTTTTTTATCTTAAAAAACCTATTAACTTTTCAAAAAGTAATCTTCGGAAATGAGAAATATTTAAATGAGAAGAGTTTTCCTATACTCTACAATTTTTTTTTTAATTTTTTGAATACGTAGACTAATTTGGAATGCCAAACTCACTTTTTTATTTAATAATTTGACATGAACTTTTTCAGTGACCTCTAGCGGGCAAATGATTAGTTTTTATTGTCAGTGTAGATGCGATTGTTTATTAGATGAAATCCAACTTGACCAGGATTAGTTGTTGATTTGTCATTCATTTTTTTCACTTTCATCGCTATTCCATTAGAACTCTTCAATTTGCCTTTCCATAGGGTTTTATGCATATTTTATATCTATAGGCCAAAGTGTTACATTTAAATGTCATGCATCTTCCGTCGGAGTAGCTGTAATATTTTCGTATGATTAGAAAAGTAGGCTAAAATTTTGAACAGTTTACTTTCAAAACAATAATAAACTAGAGTTGATTTGCTGATAAAAGTTTAAAGTAAAACTATTGAAAAAGTGATATAGAAGAGAAAGAAATTCTTCTCCCAAAATAAATCATCTTACATTCTTCAAATGAAATTTTTTTTACTTTCTTATTTATTTAACGGTGTTTTTCTTTTCTTATATTTTGAATGCTACAACACAAATTTATCAATAGCATATCCTGTTAGTCGAAAATATCGTTTTAGAAAAGGCCATGCATCGTTAGTTTTACAGCAGTAATATTTCCAAGTGAATAGGAGCCTAAATTATAAATGGTTCCTGAAGGAGTTCGTGGAACAACGAAGGGTTCCAACTCCAGGCGTATATAAAGACGCGGAGAGATATCTTACATACCACCCTTCGTAGCGACAGAAGGAAAAGAAGAGAGAAAAAAGAAGGGGGTAAAAAGAGAATGAGGATTGGTGTAATTCTATTGAGCGTTTGCGCGATTTTCAACTCGTCTAATTCGATTTGGGCGCTGGATGGAGAGGCTTGTAGAGCCAAGTGCGTTCGCATGGAAATTCGAGCTTTACGACGTCATTACGACGGTCTGGGAACCGAGAGTAAGTGCCGGTTTAGACGAGTTTAAGGATTAAATCCAAAGAGTATTTTGGTCGTTTTAGTATTTCCTATCCTATTGCCTTTGTGTCAACTTTTCATTAAGTTTAATATATAACCTCTAGACCTTTTTTACAGCCTCATACCTCCTTCCCTTACCTCTTTACCCTCCTAAAAAAAGAGACAAACTACTTAGGGCGCATTTAAGGAAAATTTATCCTTATAAACTTTGTTATTTCAATTTAACGTCAATTTATAAACAAACTAGCCGTAAAAAATATTAAAGAATCTATCATAAAGTAGCTTTTTTATATACAAACTGTCATTTTTATATTTACTTTGACAACAATAGACAATGTTTCTCTGTTTGCATCAGCGAGCAAAAGTTTATTTAACAAATGTATAACCTTTTAATCATTTCCGCTTTTAAAAGATACCAAATATAGTTATAGAGAGGCAGAAAAAGAGTATAGCAAGGGAATGGGGTAAAGAAACTAAGAGAGAGAGAGAGAGAGAGAGAGAGAGAGATAGACAGACAGAAAGAAAAAGAGCAAGATTTTGTTTATTGTAGAATAGAAAAAGAAGAAGCTGAAAGTTATGATAGCGGCAAGTATAATTGCTTATATAAAAAAATAAAGAGCAACGTAAATGAATCTTTCTCTCACTTAAGGATTCTTAGATGAAATTGTTAAACGTTTACTTAAAAGTTTTCCTTCAAAGAAAGTATAAATTTCATTTGTAAAAAGAAAAAAAAAGGAGATTTTTTCATTTTATTTCCTAAAACAAGACTTTTTATAGGCCTTTAGTTATTCTAGTTATCCATTCTCTCTACAAGCAATTCTCTATTGTTATTCTCTGCTATCATCCCTTACTCATCTCTCTCCCTCTCCTACCCTCTGTCTCTCTCTCTCTCTCTCTCTCTCTCTCTCTCTCTCTCTCTCTCTCTCTCTCTCTCACTCTCTATCGTCTCTTTTAAAGTCATGAATTATAAATTCTGTAATTGAGAATTGTAATTAAGGAATAGACAAAAAAATATTAAATGTTTAGCTGATACTCCCAAGAGACTAAACTATTCTTCTCGAATTTTCATTATGTAAATTAAAAATTAAAGATATTTGATAAGGTACAATGAAAAAAAAAAACACATCAAGTGTTCAGTAACTTAAGCTTTCGACAATTTTCCTATTCTTGTTAGTCTATGCCTTATATACTATTGAAAAAGTCATTTCAATTAAGGTAAGGTTCTCTAAAAACCGATGTAAGTATAATAAGAAATAACATTTGAAATTGAATAACTAAAGTCATTTATGTTACTGTTACTGTGTAGATATTCTTCTCACCCTATACTACTACCTATATATTTTCGCTCTAAGGATTGTTTAACTATTTTCTTTTCCTATATATAACATTTTTCCATGAAATTTGATTTTATAATATAAGGTTTTTAATAGTTATTAGATCCCATCTCATGTTTTCTATTTTTCTTTCTTCTTTCTCTCTCTCTCTCTCTCTTTACTGAAAGGCATTTTGATCTGTTGAAAATATTGATTAAGTTCGTGCAAACCTATACAACAATTCCTAATTAGGTTCTTAGGAAGCAACTATGCGAGAAATTGCAGATAAATGGACCAAAATATTATTGAGATTAGGCCTTGAAACATTGCCAAAATTGAGCTTTTAGAGTTTAAGTTCTCTATTTTCTAATTAATATAATACTTTTTTTTTAATAAACAAAAGTACTACAACTTTTACTGGAACTTAATCAACAAAATTCACTTTTGACAATATTAAATAGATAAGTTATTTTCCCTCCAGATGACGCCACTATATAAAAAATTGATAAAAGTATTATAGCGTAATGAGGGATAGAATATTATAGAGTATCACTTTTTTTCTCCGTCCATTGCTGATCATTCTATTCCGGTCCTTGGTAATCAAGTAGAATAAAACTTATTCATTTTTTATTTATTTAGATAAATATAAATTATTGGATTATATTCGGTGTCGAAAATAATTCCGAGTAGTTAACTATTTATGACTAGTGCTTATAGTATCTTTAATGCTTTGAATCAGATTTGTTTTTGGTGTATTTATAGCAATATGACTTAATTTTAAGACAAATCTGTTCAGGGAGATGATATTTGACTTTTCAAGATATTAGCAGTTTCTTTCCTCAGTTTAGTCTGATGTGAAAGGATATGACGAATAAATTATACTTCACTCATTTATATTCCCTTTCTTCATTTTACAGCTTCTCTGTCGTGGTCTGAATAATTAATAATCTTAATTTTAGAATAAATATGGAAGCAGGGTTAAATTATATTATCAAAGGGTGTAGAGATAAAAAAAGAGGTTGAGAAGAAAGGCACGTGCTCTTATAAGGTGGATGCTTAAAGAGTTAGTGAAAGATGCAAACAGCCATAAAGCAAATCAGGAAAGGACAAGGGAAGAAAATGAATTTCTTTTTATAATTCCCTTTTTATGCTGCGTTTTTTCTGTCTGTCTGTCTGTCAGTCTTTCTTTGTTTCTGCTTCAGATAGAAAGAACAGCTTTTAGGATAATTTGCATAATCTGTTTGAAGAAGATAAATCGGCAGTAGTCACATATATTTACAATTTTTAAAGGTTGTATTTTTTCAAACAGATTTGACCTTTCCGAATTTCGTCGCCAACCTTCTTGAAACGATGAAAGGTATAGATGGTCTGAATGCCTTATACAACGCCCTATCGAAAGTTTTCCGACAATACGACCAATGTTTATCTTCCTGTCAAAATAAACGTCGATTTTTAGCATAATAATTACTGTTTAATGTTTATAAAAATAATAATATTTATCGTGAACTGTCAAAAATAGTACTATCGGCGTCGAACAGCGTTTTTTGATTTGATTCGATGTTACTTATCCGCCGCTAGGTGACGCTGCACGAAAGCGATTCGGAAAGAGACGCGAGAAGAGTTATATAGCACCGGCGCCAATCATGTTCACCTTGCAATATTTCGCGACGATCCTTGTAGGCCTATTAGCTATTACGTAAGTTCTTTCATTTTCTCCTAATATTCTACACCCTTAGTTTATTCCATTCTAAATTTCTAAAAAAAAATTATGAGTTGAAAAGATAGTATCACTTAAAGAGAGAGTAAGAGAGAAAGAGAGAGAGAGAGAGAAAGAGAGAGAGAGAAAGAGAGAGAGAAAGGGAGAGTAAGAGAAAGAAAGAGGAAGACGAACAGTGAAGAAGGAAAAAAAGAGAAATAATTACGGAGGAAAGGAGAAAAAATTGCAAAGTGACAAACTTTTTTTAGCATAGAACATTAAAAAAAAGTTTCAAGTTTGTTTTTTTGAATCTAT